GATTTTACTGTGATAAAACACAATTGAACGTACGTTATTATATTATAAGCAAACGTTACAAGCCTTTGTATTACCCCTCGCATAGGGCTTTTTTGCTTACTTAGCAAACGATACATTTTACCACTCGCATATGCCGTTTTTACCACTAGCATATGGCATATTTTGCTACTTGCGACTCGCAACTTGGTACTCGCATACGGCACTATTTCTAAGTCGTACATACCTCGGAGGGGAGGGTTTAGCAGTACTGTGATCAAGTAAGACAGCTATTATCGAATGAATGGAATATTTTTACCCATATATTTATCACTCAAATATTTTTCACTCCTGTGTGTGAGTTTTTGCAGTTATCCTGTATGTGGATAGGTTTGCTCTCTGGAATAAACCACATCTGTCATTAGTTTTTGTGTGTGAAATCAATGCATATTAATTGCCTAATTTACATAAATTGACTAATTTTTCTTTACCCCTCATTTCAATGAAGATTGATGCATCCTCTGGGATAATGTGCTTAATTATAATTACTTTAGGGTTCAAATCGGTTATTATTAAATATACTTAATTTGCATAAATTTGGCAGTTCTCTCATGACTCAAAATCTACATAACATATTTTAATAGATGAAACTTATACTCTAGTCAAAAACTTAACAGTTGATCACTGTGTACTTTTTCACTACAGACAAAACCTACACTTTTTGGCTCACATATATATTTAGTAACTTTCATGCAATTCATGTTATATTATTCTGTAAGGGACATTGAGATTAATACAGTACATGTAGTATTATTTGAGGAACATGAATATTAATTACTGTTTTATGTAATAATGAAGACTTTTCGTCCATTTTTGGTCAGAATTGTTCTCACCTAAATTTTAGCCAGAATTTTCTGCACAAAATGTTATCACATTGTTTCAGGACTTTTATACTCACTTTTACCATGTGAAAAAAGATATTGCATCGTTACCATTCAATTGTAATTTAAACTAGATTATCAATGGACAATGCTTGTTTCAAAGCTACATCTTGTCACGGTTACTAAAAAAGACGGTTTGGAAACAAACCATGTTCTTTTCATTGGATGCGTGTCGCGGGTAAACATTTGAAAGAAAAGATGTACTAATAACATAAAATGTAGACAGGAAATCACGCAAACATGACGTTATTTTTCCCAGAGTTCATTGCAATCAACAACTGCACGCCATTTTATTGTGTGTGTGTCGAATCTTTCAGTAATACTAAAGTGTAAGTTGTTCCAGTGAATCCTGACAAAACCTGTCGCTCAGTTCAAACTCAATACAAATTTGCCTGTCGTGTATGGCATTTTCGTTTCTAAATAACAAGATCGGCAGAAAACTGAATTAAAATAAACAACAAAACATGATCAGAAAAAAGACATCAAAGAAACCATACAAGTGTTTATATTTCAGCCAGGCGAAAGTTTTAATGAGGAGCCATGATACCACATACATTTTGTTGGAAATAAACAAAATATGTGATAAGATAACTGAAATGACCCGCCCATGCTCAACAAAATTCATGTAAGCAGACCAAATATGCAACAACAGGCAGTTCCAATGAAATTAAGAACGGTTAAAAAGGGTTTGAAAAATTTATTTGGCGAAGAGACTGTGAGAAAGTTGTACCAACAGTTCAATGTGTTCAAAAATTGTAGGGTTGACTAAAACCGCATTTAACGGTACGCTGAATATTGCAACATGAAAAATTTGCCAAAAACTGAAACAAGGACAGACAAGAACAATTAAACAGGCATTTTATAAAACTGGCAGAAAATGTTGAATACATTTTCAACAATTTCTACGGTGTCTACAAAAAAAGTGTTACGACTTTAAACAAAATGGCTATACAGTGACGCGAAAGCAGAACGATAAAATTTACTCTAATAAGCCCTCCAAATCGCACACAACCTTCATAAGTACGCACAGTAGTATACTAAAAATTCATTTGGTAGTATTTTTTATAATATAATGTATTTTAAAATAGTGACTTAGGGGTTAGAATTTTTGTCACTTTTTCTACTGGGACCCAAGCTTACTCTCATGACAACAGTGAAAACGATAAATGACGATTCTCGATTCTGAATGTTTTCACAGTCACAAAGAGTACTCATCCGAAATGTACGTGTAGTTCTTCGTAGAGCTTGTGCACTAAACGTGGATATTCTATTGAAAACGAGCTTAAAATTTCAAATTCGCGGAACATCAAGTGATCGACACAAAAATGAAACAAAATGGTGGGCCTTGAAATCTCAAGCAATAGGGGGGGGGGGGCGTACACAGCGCGACACACATCCTTGAGGGATTAGGCAGATTCACACCTTTTAACAATAGCGTTTCCTAACCGTCGTTTTTAGTAACCGTGATCTTGTATAATCATAATCTCAAAGTTATTTACAGATTAGTAAAAGTGTTAACTACACAAACACTGTTTTGTGATTCCTTGGTGCAATTCTGTATAATTAGTTACTACCTTATAATATGCTACTCAGTTTGAGGTGAATCCATACATATTGCATTATTTAATTCAGATTGTAAATTCATCTCTAACAATTAATGTTTTATTTTGACAGATGATTATCTTGGACTCTTAGAAGAATGTCCAACTGTTGAGTTAGCTATGTTATTGGGGAAACCAAATGATGCTGGTGAATCAATAGCGCCTGTAGAGGAAGTTGTTGTAACTCTGATTAGAAGTCAACAATGTCATGTTGGATTGGGATTGTTGGAGCATGTACATGCACAGTTTCCTTCAGGTACATGCATTTGATTGCATCACACATACATTCAGGGGGGAATTGCTTGATACGAATGGTTGAAAAAAATTGTCTCATTTGCATAAGTTAATATTTATGAGCAAGGTTTGCTTGGGTGAAGTTTAGGTAGAGCAAGGTTTGCTTGGGTGAAGTTTAGGGAATGTGGAGAGCTACTAGGAGATGAAAGGAATAGTTTATAAGAGTTGTGTGAGATCAGCATTGCTGTATGGGAGCGAGACATGGTGTTTGAGTGAAAATGAGCTGGGTATTTTAAGGAGGACGGAGAGAGCGATGGTGAGAGTGATGTGTGGGGTGAAGTTGATGGACAGAAAGTTAACTGAGGACTTGATGCAGATGTTGGGTTTGAAGGAAGCGGTAGATCGGTTGGCGAAGGCAAATGGGGTACGTTGGTATGGGCATGTGCTGAGGAGGGAGGATGGGCATGTATTAAGAAGGGCCCTTGATTTAGAGGTGAGTGGTCCAAGGAAAAGGGGAAGGCCAAAGAAGATGTGTAAGATGCAAGTGGAGGAGGAGAGTGGGAAGGTTGGGATGAGGATGAGGGATGCTTTAAATCGTGCAAAGTGGAGGGAGGGGGTAAGAGCGATTGCCACTAGTTTAAGATGAATCCGGCCATCCTCGTCTTCGGGGACCAAACGGGATTTAAAACTCTGGACTACTACTACTAATGAACCAATTGTTACCATAGTATAGCTGTGCCAAATTGCATTCCAATAGTCAGTATGTATTTCTAAATTGGCCATCGTTATGAGCTGAAAAAAAATAAACGAAAAAATTGTTGTTAAACTTTTTGAGAAACATTTTGATCAGAGTGAAGTAAGTAACCACAGGTTTTCTCTTTCACAAAATCATAGCAATTTTGAAATTCATAATATAGAAAATGCAGAGGCACTTGATATTTAACTATTGTACTATTGCTCTAAATTGATCAAAATGTACATTAAAATGTTAACAAAATGTTAACAAAATGTCAATAACTTTTACCAGTGTTGCCTGCAGCCAAAACACAGTCAGTGTGAACATTCAGTTGTGAGACATGACACAACAAATGCAGCCAGTGATACATTTTGAGAATAAAAACAAAATAAAATATTGACCATACCGTTTCAGGTAAATAGATCTTAGTTTTTTTAACTATACTGTCCACCATTGCCATAACTTCCTTGATAGTGTAATCAAAAGGACAATAATAAAATCATTCATGGATTATAATGCAGGTGTTATAAAAGTTCACATTAGTTGCGCATTCATGCATGTGTGAACTTCATAATATGCATTTACTTTAGAAACTATGTTTTTTTTTGTCTTTTAAAACATCAAGTTCATTTTGGAATGAGATCTGACTGATTGTTACCATGTAGGCCATTGTCTGAACTTTTAATTTGATGGTTCAATTTACATTCACTTTCACAGTGATCAATTTTGTGTTGCTTTAGTTACAAGCCATTGTCACCCCCCTTGTTCTTGTACATTGAATAAATACACAACAAATGAAATGTAAGCATTTATATGCTCCTTTTTGACCAAGTGCATGTACCAATTCTACACTGAATTAATGACTTGGACTACAAGGCAATTTATTATGTGTGAGTGTCTATGTCTGTGTTAGCAAAATGTATAACATGTATTGCAATTCCATATTCTAGTGCATTGTGGGATAGTTATGTAGGATTGTGGGAGCAGAGACGCTTTATGATTGCTGTGTTTGATTCAGTCATAACTATCCCATAATACATAATGATTTGTTGATTTGCTAGCACACAACTGTCTTTAAACTAAGGTTGGACCTAATTGGACTACGTGAATTTATACCGGAGATATACCAGTAAGCCAAAATGTGCGAAAAAGGATCAAAAGTGACCATCTTGAATTAGATTGTGACACATAATCAACTTTCTTCGATGTGCTAGAACAAATCATCCGAAGATTGAAGTTTGGACATAATTGGACAGTGTTAATTTGAGATACTAGTATAATATAGAATTGTGCCAAAAAATTGCTGATTTTTATGAAACAAATGGCTGCTGGTCAGCCAATATTGCATAGAATCTCAACTTGCATCTTTGTGAAATAATATATTGACTCTGTACCAAATCTGAATAAACTTAGTGATTGTATTCTCAAGTTATAAGCAAAAAATGAACAAAAATAAGTATTTTTATGAAAAAAATAGCACAATTTCAACAACAAATTTGAAAAATAATGGATGTGCCTTAGTATGCCAACAGGTGTTATCTAACACATATAAAACATGAATTTTTAGCCGATTTTTAGGTCAAATATGGCCACCAGTCTGCCATTTTGCATCTGAACAGGAATAAAAAAAAACTGTGGCATATATATACTGTCATGTATCAACCATGTTTCAGGAAAATTGGTCCATGAATTTCTGAGATAATAAAACAGATGGATGGACAGAACCAAATCCACCAGACTGTGTCCAGTTAGGGGCTAAAAAATATAATTTATATTACTAGTACTGTAATTACTTGTAGCATTGTGCTGACAATGGTAGTGCAGTGTTGCTGCTTATGATATCCAGATAATGTTACACATGTCACTATCATAACTAACACATTTCTCCATGATTTCAGGTAACAACATTGCTAGTCTAAAAACATTGGTCTTCAATCCTGATTCATCACTGGATACATGGAAAGAAATCGTCACATGCTGTCAAGAAAATGGTTATCTTGATATTGGTATTGAACTACTTGCAGCGGTTACTGTTAGAGGAGCAGTTACTAAGGCCATGGAAACGACCCTGGGTCTTGATGACGACTTTGAAAACTGTTCATACATAAATTAACTGCAGACAAGTGAACCAATCAATTTCCAACTGTGTTAGCATGGTGCATTTTTAGATGATAACTGATTCTGATATATCCTATTTATTCTCTGTGTTTGCCGACTGTTCATTGTATACCCATACCTGTACACTACTACATCTATTTGACCACACTAATTAACCCTTGTGTTTCATGCAATATGATTACATTTTGCTACAGATCTATGTTGCTGTAAGTTATTGTTTTTTTTTGCTATGAAACATCTTTGTGTGGTGTAAATATAATTAACATCAATTACTGATGCCGAGTTTTATATGTACCGGCAGTCAAATTTAATCCAGTTTTGACTCTAGGTGGCCCTGTGCCTGTATGTCTATTGTGGGCAAGAATATATTCACTTTTATCTTATTTACCATAGATTTGTATATATTCTTTTCAATTTTACCCACTGAATGTTAGAATGGAACTTGTTTGTATATTTTTGCCACTGTACAAATTATGGTATATTTTGTGAGTGTAATAAACCATATCAACCTATCGTCTACTTGGTGGGTTATGTTCTTCCAAACAACGGGACAATCAGTAAATAACTCATCATATGAAAGTTTATTTTCTTTAAATTCTTTATACACATTAATGGCAGGGATATTCTCTTACTGTCATCGCCATATTTTCCAACTAAGGTGGGATTGTTATGTGATTAGAACTTGTTTACTGGCCATTCAGCTAAGCATTATGACACAGACAGTGTCCATGTCCTTCACAATTGACTGGTAGTCTTGTATTGAACCAATCAGCAATGTGGTGATGACAGTAATAAATA